TTTTCGATGCTCGAAGAAGGTGTTCATAATAGACAATCCGTTGTTTGCACAAAACCGCAGCAACTTCATGTCGTTACCGGTGAGGTCGCCAGGGCCATTCCTTACAATCACAGCATTCCACTTTTCAGCGTCTATTCCGAATGCGCATTGAAATCGCCCATTAGAATGAGGGACAATGCGGTCGGCACTTCGTGCAGAGCATACTCAACTTTCTCGAAGAGGGACTCGTATTCTCACTCTAAATTGGGCGCATTGACGTTTAACAAGGTCATAGCTTTAGCCTGTTGTTGCTGCAGTTGGAGGATTTCCATTATACCGCTGACAGGCTTCCATTCAATGATTCTCTCAGCCTGGTTGCGTTCTAACAGAACATCAACACCCGGCTCAGCTCGCGTCGTGATGTCCACACCTGAGTAGAATAGCTTCCACCTGCAGAAGTTCAGAATTCTAAAGCGTTGACGCTTCGTTGACGGGACTTCATCTACGAAGCGTTGCTACCTTGTGGCCTCATCAATTATCTCCTGCTCTTTCCGTCTGAGTCAGTATATGTTTCGATTTCCGGCTGTCCCATTGTCGGTGTCGTTCCCGTGCAATATCATCGCGATGTCTGACTCCTCCGTTCAGAATGTGAAGCTATCCCGTTGCTCATTGGCTTCTTCGTCGTCGTTTCGTCGACCTTTGTCAGCCGTTGTTGTGCTACTACACCCCGGTTGGTAGAAGGCAATGAGCGGGTTCCGATTGTCGACTTTTCACAGCCTGCCGCCGTCCTCAGCGTGGCCTGCGCGGCCTTTGGTAACCCAAGCGATGAGCAAGCCGTAATTTCCGATGACCTACCCATTAAGAGCAGGTGGTTAAGCTTCACGGCGATTTTGCCACGATGTCCAACCCTCCTCGTTTCTTTTCCGGGCCTCGGACCGCCAACGGCAGGGTTACCAGTTGGTTTACTGACAATATATTTGAGAAAATAATTTAAAATAAGAGGTAAAAAGTTCCAGAATGTGTTGTGAGAACACGATTTCCTACCAACTGGGATGAAATAAATCAAACTGGTATTACTGGTATTATCAGTATTTTATTTAGTGCCCTGTTTATGTA